CTCTTTCGGCCCCTGGCGCCTTCCAGCCCTGGCGCCCCCGCCCCCACTCGGCCGAGCACGTGCTGCCCTGGGCCCAGAGCGCCATCCTACTGCCCCGGGGTGGGGGCTGGGCCCACTTCTGGCTCTGTTCCCCACCCCCACCGGAAACATTCCTGAAACATTCCTGAAACTGGGAGGCTTGGCCTCTCCTGCTCCCCACCCCCTCCACTCCAGGCTCAGGGTTTTCCTGACGTCCCCCTCCACCGCCAGATCGCCTTCTGAGGAGGGGGCTGGGCCGGGGCTTCGGCGGACTGGGGAGGAAGAAGGGGAGCAAAGAATAACATGAGTCACAGCCGCTGTGTCACCGGACCGCATTGCAATTCCCTGCCTCACGGAAGGTGTGGAAGGCCGCCTTAGGGCCCGAGGGCGGGGAGGTGCTCCCTAGAAGGCCCCGGGCCCGGCCTGCAGGGCGCTCCGTGCCGACAGCGCCTTTTTTCCTCCATCGCCCCCTCCGCCATCTTTCCACTTTGGCTTGCTTTTCATTTGAGCAACAAGTTTTTGTCAAGCCTGGCGCTAGGCGGCCCAGGCGTGGCGAGTATGGCGTACGTAAAACTCAGCCCTTGCCCTCAAAGAGCTTCCAGGCAGCCCCTTACCTACGTTTTAAAATAAACCTAGAGGTCCAGGGCACACAATGAGAAATCTTGCCCTCAAATGATCAAGCCACGTCATCCAAAGTACTATCTCATCACGTGAACTAGTCAGTTTGTTTGAAGGCTACAACTTGATAGAGTTCACCAGTGACCACTAGTAAATGACAATTCCTTGGGTTTCCCTAGGGTCACACTTGTATTTCATCAGCCAACCAGATGCTGGTTGACACGGAAATACAGAAGCCGACACCTGTCAACCCCGGAGAGTTATGAGCAGTGTATCTGGGCAAACTGGGGACGATTAGGCCTCGTAAATGTCCAACAGGTTCACTTCACTCTCCCTTACACCTTGTGGACTCCACAGGCGCAAACGCCCAACCGAGAGATCAAGACTCAAGTGTTAAGATGGCCCCTAGAGGTGAACTAGGTACTCCAGTTCCGGAGCAGGGGAGGAACTGCTCTTGCCCTAACGTAAAGCTCCTTCCCGATTTTTCTGTGTTCCTTGGCAGTATCCCCATGCCAGAATTGTGACGAGTGAGTGGGCTATTGCTTTGGGTTCCCAATCCAGGCCTCGTCCCCCGACGTCAGGAACCGTAAACTCCTCCCACAGTGAAAACCGACCCGCGCGGCGGGGGATAGCGGGCGGCCGCCCTTTTAAATCCCCGGGCTCATTTGCATGGCCCCGCCCCCGTAGTGACACGGCTGGCGCGGGCGGGCCCGTCCCCCCCCTGCCCCTGGGTCGCTCTTTTTAAGCTCCCCTGAGCCGGGGCTGCGCTCCTCTAATTGGGACTCCAAGCCGGGGCTATTTCTGGCTCTGGCGCAGCTCCAAGAAGGCGTGAGTTCGCGGCCGCTCCGGTGGCTTCCTATTTTTTTTTATATCTAGAATTTAATTAAATTATTTATTTTCTGAGGCCGCGCACGGGCCGTGCCTAGCTTCCTGCCCCTCGCCATCCTTCGGGGAGGGGGGAATATTCTCCCCCTTTTGGATGTGACATATAAATACCCCATGGGGGCCTAGGCGGCGAGCACGCGGCAGTGGCAGACTCTGAGCGCCTCTGCTCTCTCCTGGTTTCAGATCCGCATTTGCTACCGGCGGCGGCGGAGCCAGGCCGGTCCTCAGCGCACAGCACCGTCGCTCCCGGCAGCCCAGAGCGCGC